CAATCTCTTCACCATCCATCCTGATGCTGCCAATTGGTCCAGTGGTGAGAATCTTTGTCTTCTTGACATTGAGCCTCAATCCATATTGTAGGCTCAATCCACATTGTTAGTGGGATTGTAAAATGGCACAACCACTCTGGAAGACAGTTTGACATTTCTTCAAAAAGCTGAATATAGAAATTCCACATGGCTCAGCTGTTCCACTGCTTGGAATATACTCCTAGAAAATTAAGACTGGGGCACAAATGGAGATTTGTACACCAGTGTTCATGGCAGCATTATTCACTATCTCAAGACCACGGAAACAGTCCACATATCCAAGCACAATTGAATGGATTGACAAATTGTGATACATTCACATGATAGAATACTATATAGCATGCAGGAACAAGGATTTTACGTTTCATCCTTGTGCAGGGACCATGCTAATCTTCTCTGTATCATTCTTATTTTAGTATATGTGCTGCCAAAGCGAGCACAAGGAACAATGATTTTGAAAATCACTTCCTAACTTGGGAGGGACTGGAGAGCATCATGCTAAGTGAACTAACTCAGTCCCAGAAGGAAAAATACTAAATAATACCATTATTATAGAATTAGAAAGATAACTGGTAAAATGTGTATAAAGATTTAAGGGTGGCAGGGACGTGGGGGAGCAGAGAGGTGAAAATGGGGGTGTTAATCATAGCACCACACAATTTGATGGGCGGAGGGTGGAATGGGTAAAGAATTCAGAAAGATCAGATGTGAAAAACAATGTGAACTTTTTAAGTAAACCAGTATAAAATAAAAAAATTTATTTAAACAAACAAACACAATGTATGGGAATTATTGTATGAAACAATGTGAATGAAGGAAAGTATGAAACACAATGTACACAGATTTGTATATATATTTTAATATAAAATTTAATAATTTTTTTAGAAAAGATGATGGATGGAATACACATAATCACTATACCAAAAAGAATAGACAGGCACTGAAGTTTTTCAATAAGTACCATATGATGAAAAGCCAATGATAATGAAGGAAGAAATTTAAGCTGCATTGAAAGCATTGGCAAAAAAAAAAATAATGCTCCAAGAATCAATGGTCTACCAACTGATACGTTTCAACTAACAGATGCAACCCTGAAGATGCTGATTTACATGAAATTTGGAAGAGAGTTGCCTGGCCATCTGAATACAAGAAATTCATATTTATTCTCATTCCAGGAAAAGGTTATCCAGGGGAATGTCGAAATTATCAAACAGTATCATTAATGTCACATGCAAGTAAAATGCTGCTCAAAAAAAATCACTCAAAAATGGATAGAATGGCACGTAGAGACAGAACTACCAGAAATTCAATCTGAATTCAGAAGAGGTCAAGGCATGAGGGATATTATTGTTGATGTCATATGGACATTGTTGAAAGCAAAGAATACAGAAGGATGTCTATTTGTTCTTTATTGACTATGCAAAAGCATTTGACTACATGGATCATAACAAATTATTGCTAACATTGAGAAGAACAGGAATCCCAGAACACTTAATGGTGCTCAAGTGAAAGCTATAACTAGACCAAGAGGCTATTATGTGAACATAGCAAGGGAACATTACATGGTTTAAAAGTAAGAAGGGTTGTATCCTTTCTGTATTCTTATTCAATTTGTATAATGTGCGAAATATTCAAGAAGCTGGACATTATGAAGAAAAATTTGATATCAAGATTGGAGGAAGACCTATCAACAGCCTACATTGTGTAGATGACACACGCTTTCTTGTTGGAAGTGAGGAGCACTGACAGGAAGTGCTTGTTGCAGAAGATCAAAGAATGTAGCCTTCAATAAAGATTGCATTGCGATGTCAAAAAAATGTAAGTTTCCCCCTCCTAGCTACAAGCAACATCATAATAGATGGAGAAAAGTTTAAAACTATCAACAATTTCATCTTATTTGGATTCACAACCAACACCGTTGGTATTAGCAGTGATCAGATCAGAATACTGGAAAAGTCTTCCAAGTATTGCGCTGGAAAAGTCTGTAATCAAGGACCTCTCCAAATTATTGAGGAGTAATTATGTCGGTTTGATGACTAGGGTAAGCCTGATGCAGGCCATGGTCTTTTCAATCACATGCTATGCGTCTGAGAGCATGAATTTGGACGACAGAAGAAGAATTGTTGCTTTTGAGTTGTGTTGTTGGAGAAGAGTACTGGATATCCCATAGATGCTAAAGAACAAACAGATATGCACCTTTTATAAAATGATAATGTTTCATCTCACACACTTTGGGTATGTTGCTAGGAGAGGCTATTCCTTGGAGGAGGACATCATACTTGGAAAGGTGGAGGGTCAGCAAAAGAGAAGAAGATACTTAACCAGATGGATTGACACGGTAACTTCAGCAGCAAGCTCGAGTATGTCCAAGATTGTGAAGATGGCAGGGTTGTTATGGGTTGTGCTTGACTTAAAAGCACCTAACAACAACAACTTGAATCCTACATAAATTTGACAGTGAGGGCAAAATTCTTAGATCCAACTTCTTGAATAATTTGCTCAAAATACAGGTTAAATAGGTATGGAGAAAGGCTACAACGTGATGTACCCTTTTCTTCATTTTAAACCACTTATTGGTCTCTGATCTGTTTGCAGGTAGCCTCTCTGTCGAGGTATAGGTTTTGCAAGAGCAAAATTGAGTGCTCTGGGATTTCCATTCTTCTCAATGTTAGCCATAATTTGTTAGAATCCACATTGCCAAATGCCTTTGCATAGTCAATAAAGCACAAATGGCCATTCTTCTCGTATTCTTTGCTTTCAAGCAAAACCTAAATGACATCAGCCATGATATGCCTGGTACTACATCCTTTTCTTAACCCAATTTGAACATCTGAAAATTTAGCAGTCAGGAAATCAAGAAACATATTGCACTGGGAAAATCTTTCATCATGTATCTCTCCAAATTATTGAAAAGCAAGATTTCAGTTTGAGGATTAAGGTGCACCTGATGTAGGCCATGATCTTTTCACACACTTGTGATGCATCTGATAGAAGGACAATGACTAAAGATGACAGAAGAATTAGTGGGTTTGAGTTATAATGTTGGAGAAGGGTACTGAATATCCCATGGACTATCAAACAAAGAGTTCAGACAGAGTACTCCTTAGAGGCAAAGATGGTAAAGCTTCATCTCTCATATTTTGGACATGTTTCTAGGACAGATTGTTCTTTTCTTTTTACTTTTTACTTGATTCTGATTTACTTACAATTTTTTTTTACTTACAAAATTTAAATACATTGTTCTTCACAAAAGATCCTTCCCATTTCCTTCACCTACCCACCCATCGAATTGTGCAATATGATAATTAAGCCCCTTAACCCTCACCATTCCTCCCCCCCCCATTTCCACCCACCTCCCTGCCTTGGATCCTCATATTTATTCTACAATAATGGTTTTATACAGTATTTGTTCTTGTGGTACTGTTAGTTCACTCAGCATAATGCTCTCCAGGCTCTCCCAAGTTAGGTAGTAATTTACAAAATCATTGTATGAATGTACCACAACTTTTCAATCGATATGTTTGTGGTTGGACATCTGGGCAGTTTCCATGTTTCTGCAATGATGAATAACGCTGCTATGAACATTGGTGTAAAAGTTTGTATTTGAGCCTCATTTCTCATTTTTCTTGGGGTATATTCCAAGCAATGGAACAGCTGGGTCATATGGAATTTCTATGTTCAGCTTTTTGAGGAATCACCAAACTGCCTTCCAGAGTGGTTGTACCATTTTACAATCCCACCAACAGTGTAAGAGTCCCCATCTCACCACATCTAGGAGAGAATACTCTTGGACAAGAACATCATGTTCGGTAAGGGTGAGGGTCAGCAAAAGAGAGAACTCAATGAGACAGATGGACTCAGTGACTGAAGCAATGGGCTCAAGTATGTCAGAGGTGATGAGGATGCCACAAGATAGGACAGGGTTCAAGTCTGTTCTTCATAGGGTCACTATGTCAACTTGACAGGAACTAATGACAACAATGATGACACAATCCTGCTTGCTAAAATTGAGGAGGACCTGAACCACTTGCTGCAGAAGGTCAAAGACTACAGCCTTCAATATGGATTGAAGCTCAACATCAAGAAAACAAAGATTCTCATCACTGGACCAATTGGCAGCATCATGATAGATGGTGAAGAGACTGAGATTGTTAACAGCTTCAGTTTGCTTGGCTCCACAATCAACACTCTTGGCACCAATAGTCAGGAAATTAAAAGACATACTGCATTGGGAAATTCTGTTGTTAGAGACCTCTCCAAAGTACTGAAGAACAATGATGTCAGTCTGGAGACAAAGGTGTGCCTGATACAGGCCATGGTCTTTGCAATCACTTGCTTTGCATCAGATACCTGGACAATGACTAGGGATTATAGAAGGAGAATTGATGCCTTTGAGCTGTGGTGTTGGAGAAGAATATTCAATATACCATGGACTGCAAAGAGAATGAACAGATTCATCCTAGAGAGGGTTAAACCCGCTGCTTCTTAGAGGCAAGGATTCTGAAGCTTTGTCTGACATACTTTGGACATGTTGCAAGAAAGGACCAGTCCTTGGAGAGAGATGTCATGCTTGTGAGGGTAGAGGATCAGCATAAGAGAGGAAGACCCTCGATAAGATGAATTGATTCAGTGACTGGGGTAATTGGGGTAGGTGTGTCTGAGACAATAAGACTGGCACAGGATAGAGCAGGGTTTAGGGCTGTTGTACATAGGGTTGCTAGAGTTGCAGGTGACTCGATGGCACATAACAACAAAGTGTATTACTTTAATAAACAAGAGAAAAAAGCATATTTATTTTGCAGTATTTATTATTCATCAAATAAAAGAAATGAAAGCAAATAACCCTGAGAACATATACTACTTTCTAATCACCTTCATGTAATACAGAACACATCTCTTCACCAACCAGATGCAGGAAATTCTGGTAGAAAATGTGGTCAATAGAAGTTGATAGTTTGTGGTTAAAATTCTTCAGAATATGGGTAGTAAGGGTGATCAACAGCACTGAAAATAGAAGTAGGACAGTAATTTATCACCTCTGTCTCCATACACTCAAATTTCTCTAAATGTAATAGTCAGCATGGCCTTAAACTCTCAGCTTAATAATTAAAGTTTTTTGAAGGTTGAGGTATTGATGCTGACAAAACTGCTCTATAATAACAGAAAGTACTTGCATGTCACATTTTTATGATGATACCCTTATTTCTATTCCTTGAATGCATAAATGCAAGATCATTCATCAATGAGTAAATGCCACAAGCATGTCCAATTTCCATATTTACAAGTACACAAGCACAATAGTAGCATGTGGCTCGTTTATATTGCAAGTTGTATAGAATATAAGAACTATTTATAACATTACTAAGAAATGTTTTGGTCATCCAAGCCCAGATATATTTTGTCCTTAGATTACAAGAACGATGGTAGTAAAGATTATTCAGCCCTTATCCACTCATTCAGAAAATAAATATCCACTAAGACCCTCTCAGTGACAGAGTATCCACTAAGAAGTTTCTGTTTCTGATCTATTTAAGAGTTAAAATGTATGTCTAACTATTCCTGTAAAAACAATGAAGCCGATGAGGGAGAGAATAGTTTAAAATTAATATATTTTAGGGCATTATGATTATCATAAGAGTCCAGAATGAGGGTTGCAGAGTGGAGTATACTTGGGGTGGGAGTGGGGATATGCGGGGTGGGGGGGATTGTGTACCAATGAAGGAGTTTTTCTTTTGCTTTTCAAGGAGAGGAGCGAACTAGGGGAAGGGGTGGGGGTGAGTGGGTGGGGAGAAAAGTGCAACAATGAATGAATGGAATTCCAAAATCTCTGTAGATGTTAATAATAATTTTTTTAAATGTGACTATTGCTTAAGGCCACCAGAGGGCTCCAGTGTCCTATGGGTAAGAAGTGCAGCAATCCCAAAGGCATGGCATTCTAATCCATCAACTGCTGTTAGCAAACAATACGGGCAATATCCTCCCTTGAGATTTACAGCCTCTGAAAAGCTGAAGGGCCAGCTAGGAGTCAGTTGAGACTCCACAGCTTATAACAACAATGTAATATAAATAATAAAAAATGCTTATTATTCAGAAATTACTCTTAATGTTTCTTTTTTATTTTCTATAACTTATTTTTTCAATTTAATTTCTTTGAATAGTTCATCTGAATACTTCTGTTTCAGAAATTGTGCTTCTAATGACCCTCCAAGCTGTAACATAATAAGAAGAGACTCTCCCTTTTTCTCCTGTCTGACAAGTAGTGAAGACATAAAGAAGAGAATTCACAGTGATGCAAACTCTGGCAATTTTACGTAATCTGGGGGCCTGAAGTCCACTCACATTGTTGTTGGTCAGAAATAGATCCCTGTAGGGAACCTCTGGTTTGAAATATACACAAAATTCCCTATTTTATTTCTATGCCCCAAATAAGACCTGTCTTCTTAATTTAGAGTTCAGATCTGTTGTTCATAAGGTCACTATGAGTTTTACGCATCTTGACAGTACCTAACAAGTTTCTTTGCTACCCAGATTACTACTGAAAAAAGTTAGTGAAAAGTAACGAGAGGCACTTACTGTTCTAATTTAGCATATCGAAAATTTCTGTTGAGGCCATCAATTGCTCTCATATCCTCTGGGGTCAACTTAAAGTCAAAAACCTGGAAAGAAGAGAGAGGAGGAAAATCACATTAAACTTTCTCCTAAGGAAGTTCCCTGAGCAGACTGGCTTTTGAGTGAAATATGAATATGCAGGAGGGAATATGAGAATTTTCAAGAGAGGTAGAGACAAGTATGACAATGCTGTTGTTGTTGCTGTTAGATGCCATCTAGTCAACTCCAACTCATAGCAAACCTATAAACAACAGATCTGAATCTCACCCTATCCTGCACCATCCTCAAGCTCTATGCTATGCTCAATATACGCTGTTACTGTGTCAGTCTGTTTGGTTGTGGACCTACTTCTCTTTCTCTGACCCTCTGCTTTTATCAGCATGATGTCTTTTTCCAAGGACTGGCTTTTCTGACAATATACCCAAAGAGACAATGAATAGCATTAAGGGAAACATTTTTCAGATCCCTAGCTTCCATTAGTATTTTGAAAGGTTCAAATGTATTCTGAGTTCTAACAAGTTTTTTCAACTTCTGTTCCTGTTCTGATCTACTTCTCCTGAGAAAGGCATACATTAGTTCCAGTTTTTTAAGTGAATTTTCCTGTATTTATTTTTTTTTAAATCTTATTTTAAGAACCCTTCCTTTTGCTGACTCCCTCAAGGAAATACTCCCACATTAGGCTTTCCAGAAGTTAGTACAATAAAGACAGGAGAAATGATTTCTCCTTTCTGTGGTTTGTTACTTGATTGAAAGGTTGTCAGGTGACTTAGAGAATATGAGAGGAGCAAAAATGATCATGTAGGCTTTTATACTTATTAATTGCGATGAGGAAATCTGCGGTTAGGGACCTCTCTAAAGTACTCAAGAGCAACGGTGTCTCTCTGGAGACTAAGGTGCGCCTGATACAGGCCATGGTTTTTGCAATCACTTGTTATGCATCAGAGAGTTGGACAATGACTAGGGAGGATAGAAGGAGAATTGATGCCTTTGAGCTGTGGTGCTGGAGAAGAGTATTGAATGTACCATGGACTGCCAAGAAAACAAACAGATTCAACCTAGAGAGGGTTAAACCAGGCTGCTCCTTGGAGGCAAGGATTCTGGGGCTTTGCCTGACATACTTTGGACATGTTGTAAGGAGAGACAGGTCTTTAGAGAGGGAAATCTTGCTTTGTAGAGTAGAGGGACAGCGCAGGAGGGGAAGACCCTCTATGAGGTGGATTGATTCAGTGACTGGGGTAATCGGAATGGGTATGTCAGAGGCAATGAGATTGGCACAGGATAGAGCAGGGTTTAGGGCTGTTGTACATAGGGTCACTATGAGTCACAAACGACTCGACGGCACATAACAACAACAACAACAACATTTAAAGTGGCTATGATGCTGAATTCTCTGCCATTGGAGTGTTGAATGCCATAATGGTTATCCACAGTGGACACTGGTGGAGCTCCAAGATTAAGATAGGTTTGGGAGCAGGAGTGGCATCCACTTCCTAAAAAAACATGCCTATGGAAACTCTATGAACTTTGAGAAATGATAATAGTTACAGAAAGACTTCAGGTCTTTTCTTCATAGGGTCACTATGAATCATCCTCAACTCAATGACAAGTAACAATAGCAACAACCACCTTAAGAAAAATGGAATAATTGGACAATGCACACCAGTCTAGGGCTGTCATGAGTTAGAATAGGCATGACACTTTAGCAATGGATTTTCTTTGGAACTTGACAAGCTAAATTAATCTCCCCAGGGATCTTTAGCCTAGACTCCTTTTTTAACTTGAGCAAGCATTCAAGTGCAGAGCAATACTTCTTTAAAAGTCTTTCCTGAGAATCCACTGATTGCAGGAAAAAAATAATCCCTAATCAACTGTTCAATTGCTGAACTTCAACCACATCATCCCCTCTCCTTCTCCTACACTCAGTTCTATAACATTTTTTTTTCTCTATGAAAGGAAAACCCTGTCTGCTTGATTTTTAGCTGCTTATAAGTCATGTATTTATAGGATTGAAGTAGCTTTGTTGAATAAAGTCCTTATTTAAATCTGAACTTATTCTTACATGCAATCCTGGGTTGCAAATAAAATCCACGCCCATGTCTAAGAATTCACAGATAACTTGGAACAAAACAAAACAATTCTTATTTAGCCTACTATAGCACAAGGGAAAGCTCCGAGTCTTTTAAAATTATTTAAAAGCTGCACATTGCACATGAAGTAAAAGTGACTGTGATAAAGAAGTTATCAAAGTTCAGTCATTTCAAAGTGAGAAAACACATACCATTAAAGGGCAATAAGAGTGTCTATAAATCAGATATTTGTAACCTGAAGGCTGCTTGTATTTGATGAAACATCATCCCTAAATAGCAAAGCAGAGATCTTCATTAAGAAATATTAGAGGGGGAAGCTCATTATTTCTTCCAAGGGACAGATTTATTTGAAAACTAAAAACTCTGTCTCCTCTCCTTTTCCCTCCTCTCTCTCTCTCCCTCCCCCCCCGCATGGTCTTTGCAATTACTTGCTATGCATCAGAAAGCTGGACAATGACTAGGGATTATAGAAGGAGAATTGACACCTTTGAGAATTGATGCTTAGAATTGAGCTGTGGTGTTGGAAAAGAGTATTGTATATACCATAGACTAATAAGAGAACAAATAGGTTGATCCTAGAGAGAGTGAAACCAAGCTGCTCCTTGGAGGCAAGGATTCTGAAGCTGACATACTTTGGACGTGTTGCACAGTGGGACCAGTCCTTGGAGAGGGATGCCATACTTGGGAGGGTGGAGGGACCACGCAGGAGAGGAAGACCCTTGATGAGATGGATTGATTCAGTGACTGAGTCAATGGGGGTAATGGGGTAGGTGTATCAGAAACAATAAGACTAGCACAGGATAGAGCAGGGTTTAGGGCTGTTCATAGGGTCACTATGAATCACAGGTGACTCGATGGCACATAACAACAACATCTATCTATCCACTCAATATTTATCCATCATCAACATTTAAAATATAATTCAGAGGTAATGTGACTGTCCTAGAGATATTAAATTTTAAAATAAAAAGAGATACTTTTCTTTTTTTCTGACTGGTTTTACAGGTCTTGAACCAATTCATTCAGGGTGACCACCTGCTGATAATTTGCATTCGTGCCCCAGGTATACTGAATCAGAACTTATTCTTTAACAAGAACTTGTTTGGAAATGTTGATACTGATTTAATACAGATTATAGGGAAATGTAAATTATTAGCAATGGGTAGAAGTGGAATGACCTGATTGAAGCCCTAAATGATATATAGCTTTACTAATTAGATTATTAAAAATAAATTGATATACCTAAATATAGAACAAATTATGCTGAGTGGCATATGTCAGTTACAAAGGGATAAGTCTGGTATAAGACCACTATTATAAAATGCTGAGGAAAGTCTTAGATAGAACCAATCTTGAAGGTTAAATAGAGATTGGAAGGAAAGGAGAGGGAAGTAAAATTGTTGTTGTTGTTGTTGTTGTTGTTGTTGTTGTTGTTAAGTGCCATCCAGTCTCAGGAGATTCATAGCGACCCTATGAAGGAGAGTCCTTGACGCTTGTGTGCCTTTCATCCTCTCTCCATGTTCATAGGGTTTCCGGAGGCAAGCTATTATGGAAGTGGATGCCACTCCTCCTTCCGGAAGTAAAATTAACAAATAGAAAAGTTGGATTAATAAAACGGCAACATTCAATAGGGCGTTGACAAGATATATTCTCATAAATTAACTACATTAATCAATGGTAATTAATGTTGTAAGACAAAAGGTCTATGAATGATTATGTGAAAAACTAACATGATTATAAATACTCAAATAAAAAGCAAATTGAATAAAGTAAATCTAGAACATCAAGATTTTGAATCAAATATATTACAAATAACATGCTGAAAATGTCTTCTTTTGCAAATAATAATGTTGACATTTTAAGCTGTCGTTTTAAGCGGAGCGCCCTCCGTCCCGGGAACACGGGGAGCGGCCGGAAAGGCGGCCGCCCCCTCGCCCGTCACGCACCGCACGTTCGTGGGGAGCCTGGTGCTAAACCATTCGTAGACGACCTGCTTCTGGGTCGGGGTTTCGTACGTAGCAGAGCAGCTACCTCGCTGCGATCTACTGAAAGTCAGCCCTCGACACAAGGGTTTGTAAATAAGTAAAAAAAAAAAAAAAAAAAGCTGTCGTTTTAAAATAGCAGAGAGGTTTGTAGTTTTTAAAGTTCTAATAACAGCACAAAGAAATAAGTTGAAGTCTACTGATGAATCTAATTGACCAGTTGATTATATGTAAAAAATGGTTTAAAAAAATAAATTTATCTATTTGTTTGCAAGTTTGGTCAGGCTATAAATTCATATCTAGGTCCCTGCTGGCCAAGAAGTGTGCCTGAAAAGATGATGAAAGACAGAGTCACTACAATATAGGATCTCACGGTCTAGAAGCCATACTGACATAGAAACTAACACTTTTATGCAGTGAGGAGAGGATCACTTAATACAGCCATGCTTAGCTCTGTGGTGGCCAGGAACTGCAGAGTGTCCTGAGGTTTAGCCCAGAGTGTGATCTTGAAATACAAATAGGAATTTGTGAAATAGAGAAGGTGATAGAAATGAATGAATATCCTTAAAGTCTTTTACTTTGTGCATATAAAAACAGAAGACATTTGCTCAATGCACACGCAACTCTTGTTGTTTGTTAGGTGCTGTCACGTTGGCACCCACTAGATCCTGCTCCAGCCTCACGATCTCTGCTGTGTTTAAAAGCATTGTTGCAACCACAATATCAATTCATCTCATTGAAGGTCTTATCAATCCATCTCATTGAGGGTCTAGTTAGTGGTACAGCCAGGCCAAGAAGGTTCTGGTTATAACATTTATAATTCTAAGTCCAAGGTACTTTCTTCTCCTTTCCACTAACACATGGAAATACTTGTGAATGCATGACAACATGAGTACATGCTGAAAGACAAGGGAGATTGCCTGCAGCATAGTGCCAGTTCTCACTCGGGAGATACACCGTCTGGTCTTTACCTGAAAGTTCTCTTTAATCCTCTTCTCATTGAAGCTCTTGGCCAGGACCACCACACCTCGCTGCAGATGATAACGCAAGGCAACCTGGCCTGGTGTTCGGTTGTGGTTTTTGGCAATGGTATTCAAGATTGGCTCCTCCAAGAGATGTGGGATATCCTTGTCAATCCTGCAGAAAACAAAATAAAACAGAGACACAAAAGATCTAGCACTACAAATCTGGTATGTGTTCTCTCAAATTATCCAGACATTGAGAGAAGTGGTCAGTATATGGTATGATCAGGGAAGAACTAAAATATAACATAATATTCATGAATATTCATAGAGATTTATCATAACTAAATCAAACTAGGAACCGCTAAAATTAACATATGAATACACGTAAACAATTTGTGTGTATATGTCCATGCAATAGAATATTGTGGTGGTGTTATGTGCCATCGAGTCACCCACAAATCACAGCGACCCTATACTCAGAGCCCTGCCCTGTCCTGAGCCAGTCTCACTAACTCCAACACACCTAATCCTATTGCCCCGGTTACCATGTCAATCCATGTCATCCAGGATCTTCCTCTCCTGCTACAAAGATTCTCACAATAATACAGCTAAATCTCATGGACATTAAGAATGTAAAAGAAGCCAGTCGCAAATAAATATATATTCTATGAGGAAACACCAAACAACTATCTAAGAGTATCAAATGCTTCCATAGTATGACAGGGGTATGGATTATATGGTGCGATAAACACGGGTATGCATATATCTACTTGGATGTCATTTATGGTCTCTTTAGGGTATATTCCCAGTAGTGGAATTGCTGGGTCAAATGATATCTTTATTTGCAACTTTTTGAGAATGCGCCACAATGCTTTCCACAGTGGTTGCACCATTTTACACTCCCACCAACAGTGAAGTCTCTCCACAACCTCGCCAGCATTTGTTTCTTGCTGTTCTGTTAAATTTTGCTAGTCTTACTGGAGTGAGATGATATCTCATGGTTGTCTTGATTTGCATCTCTCTCAGTGCTAGGGATTTTGAACATTTCTTCATGTGCTTGTTGGCCATCTGAATGTCTTCCTTGGTGAAGTGTATCAATTTGCCAAATTATACAGTGAAATTTTATTTACTCCAAGTTATATACATGACTTTTTCTACTTTAAAAAAAATGAATATTGGCTTGCCTAGCGGAGTGTACTCAGGGTGGGGGAATTGTATACCAACGAAGAAACTTTTCTTTTACTTTTCAAAGAGAAGAGCGAACTTCGGGGAGGGGTGGGCAGGGAGAAAAATACAACAGTGAATGAATGGAAATCCAAAATATCTATAAATGTTCACTAAAATAAATAATTCATACACATTGTGTGTCACACTTTGCTTCATTCATATTGTTTTATGCAATCATTTCTGCACATTGATATTGTATTTCATATAATCCTTTCCATACATTGTGATTTAGAAAATTACTCACCATTGAACTATGCTCACCATAATCCCATCTTTTCAGATGGGATAATTTTGTCAATCCCCACCAGATCTTTACAATTTCCTTTACCCCATCCCTCTGTGATTTTTTCTCCCTGCCACCTCCCCTCTCTGCTCCCACCTCCTTCCCCTTTTGGGCCTCTATATACACATTTTACTAGTTATCCTTCTATTTTTATGATAACGGTCTTTTGCATTATTTATCCTTATGAGACTGAGATAGCTTACTCAGCATAATGTTTTCATTTCTCTCTCAAATTATGTAATATTTTAGTAATTGTTTCTCCTAAGTGTTGCATGGTATTCCATCATGTAAATTACCATAATTTTTTAATCCATTCAATTGTGGTTGGACATCTGGGTTGTTTCCATTTCTTGTGATGGGGAATAATGCTGCTGTGAACATTGGTGTACAAATTTCCATTTGTGTTTCAGTTCTAATTGGCCAAAGGTATATACCTTGCAGTGGAATAGCTAGGTCACATGGAATTTCTATTTAAGCTTTTTGAGGAAATGACAAACTGCCTTCCAGAGTGTTTGCACTATTTTACAATCTCACCAACAGTGTATGAAAGTTCTAGTCTCTCTACATCCTCTCCAGCATTTATTGCTTACTGTGTTATTAAACTTTGCCACTGCTACTGGGGTGAGATGGTATCTCATTGTGTTTTTAACTTGCATCTCTCTTATTGCCAGTGATTTTGAGCATGTTTCATGTGTCTGTTGGCCATCTGAATGTCTTCCTTTGTGAAAAATCTTTGCTTATCTTTTGCCCATTTTGTAATTGAGTTATCAGTCTGTAAACTTTTGGTATGAGACCCTTGTCTGAGACCGTATTGCCAAATGTTTTTTCACAATTGGTAGGTTTGCTTTTCACCCTATTGGAAAAAGGTTTTGATGCACATAGGGATTCAATATTTAGAAGGTCATTCATCAGTTTTATCCTCTCCAGATTGTGCATTTCTGGCTGTATTTGTTAGCTTCTTTTGGTATGAGATGTAGATCCTGTTTTAGTTTTATGCAAGTAGAAGCCCAGTTTTGCCAGCACCATGTGTTGAAGAGGTTGTCATTTCCCCATTTAATAGGTTCTGTTTTCTTGTCAGATATCAGTTGACCATAAGTAGATGGGTTCACTTCTGGGTTGTTAATTCTATTCCATTGGTATATTTAACACATCTTTAAAAAATAATTACTAGAATGAGTGGGTGGGAGATAGGGAGACAATAGCAAGAGGATATTGATGGTTGTTGGAGTAATTCTATGATATTTGATTAAATGTGTTACCTTTTTTGGTTCTTTAACATAATTATTTAATGTTTAAGGGTTTCATTATCAATGCAAGTACTGACACAGGCTAAGTTTCTAATATTCTCATTACCAGTTCGGGTCTCTATGGGATGCCAGTGCACTGTAGGCAACTAGGACGATGTCCTTAGACTTGCAGAACTCCAGCAGTTTGCTCTGGTTTAGGTAAGGGTGACATTCCACCTATAAGTGGTCAGAACCAAAGAGCATCAGAATACATGGCTGAAAATGTCATGAAATTCTAAATGCTTTATAAAATATATGTCATTAATATACGTGTTAGATTTTTCACTTCTGTAATGCCCCCCCCCCCAATAAATCTGCTGAGGTACTATGGAAAGTTAACAGTTGTCAAAATTGGTCAATTCTCTTCTAATTCTTTTTCATTGACTATTTTAAATAATTAAATCTTTAAATAATTAAAGACTCTAAAGCACTTATTGTACTCTTTAAATATTACTTCTCACCAAAAGAAACCAAGTCTTCTTAGAAAAATGGCTTTTTCTGTTCTGGGAAGGGAAGCTACCAATTGACTTAAGACCTTCTTGTACTTAAGAGAGTAAAGCTAAGAGAATGAGGATGTGTGAAAGGACCTAACTTAAACAGACTTCGCTTGCCTAAATTATGGCAATTTGTGCATCATTAAGAACATTAACTACAATGGATTTTATAGTAGCATATTTATTAAAATTCATAGCATGTGCACATATGTATACAACCAGATATAATCATCATCATAATTTTCATGTTCTTAGATCCAATCTCAAGTGTGAACAAAGTATCAAGACAGAGAAACATGTCATACTACTGTTATGTGCTATAGAGTCAGAATCAACTCATAGTTGACTTTTCAGCTGGTTTTCAGAGGCCATAAAACGAAAAAGAGATTGCCCACCATTCTCCTGCAGAACAACTGGTATATTTAAATAGCGCAGTAAAATCCATTGCAAATGGATTGGCAAAGACTTAGTATTTTTAACAAATAAATTGAAGAAATAAAAAATGAGGCTGAGAGAGAGACTGAATCTATTGATTAAAATAGAAATTTAAGAGATAAATCGGCCCACTACAAAGTATAGATCTTTTACATCCCCTACATGAATAAATCAACTATAAAAGTATGATACAATTTGACAAAGTTTAATGTTCATGAAAGATTATGATTGTAAGCTATTATTTTTTAAATCTTGGGTGACATAATAGCAGTGTTACTTCATAAAAATAATCTGTATAACTTAAGAGCTCAGCTTCTCTGCGGGAAAAGAATGGACAATCTCCTCCCATGCCGTTGACTACCTCTGAAAACTGCTGGAGGGTCAGCTATGGATCAGTTCTGACTTGACGGTAAACAACAACAACAATTTAAGAAATATATTGCAGATGAGAGAATATAAAGTCTGCATTAAAATAATCCAGTGATAATAGTAATATATAATAATTTTGGATATGTGATAATTATTGCTTAAGTTTGGCAATGGGTACATGGAGCAGATCATTAAAACATTCTCTTTACCTTTCATACTTTAAAATTTTGTATAGTAAAGAGTGCAAAAGTCGTTAAGGAAATATACACCTATCACAAGGTTACCTAGAATTTAACCTGATGAGTATAGTAATTATTATAATTTTTTTCTGTGCTTAATTTTAGCATTGTTTGCTTGCTTTCTAAAAATATTTTATAAATTCTAAACCTATTGCATTTTATAGATTTTTTTTAAAACTACTATAATTTCTTTCTAGAAAATTATAGTAGTTTTCTGCAGTGCTCATTTCTTCTCCTGTGCAGCCTCTGTACCTCAGCAGAAACTGACCTAGTCTTTAGTCTAAGGATCTTCAAGCCTATTGCCAGAAGCTCTGATGGCCTAGTGGTAAGAAGTTGCACTGCCAACCCAAAGGCACATGATTTGAATCTACCAACTTCCCTCTGGGAGAAAGATGAACAATTTCCTCCCATGTGATTTACTGCCTCTGAAAACCCACTAGAGGTTTAGTTATGGGTCACTTACAACATGATGGCACACATCATCAAGAAAGGGTACAATGTGTGCTTTTAATGACACATGAAGAAAGATTTGCTAACAATTTCTGGGAAATTTCTTCCTTCATCTTTAGAAGCAGTCTCAGGAAATCCTTCTTCTTTGGCTGAACATGACAATCTACATCCCATTGCTACTAGCAATTCCAACTCATAGAGTTCCAAGTCACAGGAAATTTATAGGACACAGTATAATTATAAGAGCCATAGAGCTTCCAAGGCTGCAAATCTTTTTGGAAATAAAGCTACATCTTTCTCTCACGGAACAGCCATTGGGGTCAAACCTCTGACATTTCATTTAGTAACTGAGCATTCAACCACAGTATCACCAGGGCTCCTGAATATTAAGGGGGAAAATGTGAAGAACAGGAGGGCTCACCTGATTGCAGACAGGCTTGTATTTGAGCTCTGGCTTGTTCAGGATCATTTCCAGCTGTTTGTGATTAAAATTGGACACTCCAACAGATCTGGTTAAACCGGCATCTTTACACTTCTCTAAAGCCTGCAGAGAAAAAAAAAATATTGGTTAAACTCTATTGTCATATGAGCTTTTCATTTGACATTGAACTTTTAAAAAAAACAGTAATATCATGAGCAATAAATTTACTAGATCAAATAGTTTTATCCTTAAATACATCATTTTCTAGCTGATCTTATTGTTATGCAAACATGTCTTGTCTTCTTAATACTATACATGCATATCCAAAACACCAAATATGTGCTAATGTGGATTTCAATTATACCTATTCTTTTCCTCTTTATTCTTAAAAAAACAGTGCCTAATTTGCACTAAAATGCACTAAGTAGTATTTTAACCAATGATCTCATAGTTAAAAATCAGGTTAATTTCTCAGATTTCTCTACAGAAGGCTTTACTACTTCTTAGGAAGAAGTATAATACTTATTGCTAGCGAGTTGGAACTGACTCATATCTGACCCTCCAGTGGGTTTTCAGAGACTGTGAATCACTGAGAAGGAGATTTATCTATCTTTATCCCAAGTTGTAATACTTACAGCCCATGTGTCACGGATGTCTACTATATCTAAAAGAAATTTTCCACTGGCATCTTTTGGAATAAGCTCTTCCCCAGCCTGGAACACGTGGAGATAAAGAGAATGTATGAATTAATGAAGAGGATTTTCTTTTAAAAATTACCTTTCTGTTGCCTAAGACTCTTAACCATACACCTTTCAGGAACTTGTTATTATTAAGCATGTGTGTGTTTGTGCATTAAGTAACTGAGGAATGGTGGCTGGGAAGAACCTTAGAATCAGTGATGGACCGTGGAAAGGAACATTTCACACCACTCCTCTACTCACTCCCCAAGACCTACTGAACATGAGTTCTACTTATGGTTGAAATTTATTTCCTAAGGACAGAAAAAAATTAAAAACACTAGTGGAAGCAGGAGTGGCATCCACTTCCAAAATGGCTTGCCTCTGGAAATTCTATGCACAGTGCTCAGGTCGTCTACAACTCGATGGCATCTAAGAGCAACAACAGTTTAAAGGATAGGAATTCACTATTAATCAATGCTTTAACTCTATCATGTAACCCAGTTCAGAAATAGTGAGAATACCTGCTATGATGGGCAAACCTTCATTGTAGTGAGAGGTTGGATCAGAGAAGCACAGAGGAGCTGTCTTTTGAAACTCAGCATTTCTGAGCACTCTAATTATTAATAAAGACTACATACAATCACTTAGATACACAGGGTTATGTCCTCAATACCTAAGACAGAAGCAGTAAGATCAGTGAATCTGTCTGAAAACTGGAGTTTAGTTGTAAATATCTTGATAGTGCAGTGATTTAATTGTTAACAAGAGCAAAAAAAAAGTTTAGCATTATTAACCAACTCTTTTGGTAAGAACTAAATATGTCAAATTAGATTAAAATAATGAAGATGCTAATAACTGTACATATTGTATAATAACTATGCTAATCTTGAGCATAATGAAGAAGACAAAATGCTGACCTTCATAGCAACAGGCATATGAATAAGGAAAAGATCCACATAGTCTAGTTGAAGTTTCTTCAGTGATCTTTCCAGGGCTGGTCGGACCAATTCTGGTCGAAGGAAAGTAACCCAAAGCTGAAATGATCAAAAGAAAGTAAAACTGGATGACATTTGAGGATCAGAATTAAACATAATTAAAAGATTAAGAAGTGACTAAGAAACTACTCAGATAGACTAAACTTAATAACAAAAGAGAATTTATGTTCTCTGTTATAAAGCAGGTCTTTAATGGGATATAGAAATTTGTTTGAACCACGATATTGTATAAAGCATTTAAGTAAAACATAGATGGGTAAGGGTAAATAACCTAAATGTTTAAAGGATTAGAAAAGGTTGCTTTTGAATGGAGGGAAGAGAAACTGCAAAGACTGGAAAAGAAATCCATTTTTCTATATAATTAATGCTTAAAAGCTGTTTTGTTAAGAAAGCAATGTTCTAGAAACAAATTGTGATTATTGTTGTTGTTATGTGCCATCGAGTTGCCTGTGACTCATAGTGATTTTTTACACAATAGCAGTGATCCCTGCCCTATCCTGTGCCAATATCACTGTCTCCAACACGCTTACCCCCATTAATCCAGTTATTGTGTCAATCCATCTCATATGGTCTTCCTATACTCTTGTGCTGTCTCTCTACCTTTCCAAGCATGATGTCTCCAGGGATTGGTCCCTTCTGGCAACATGCCCAAAGTATATCAGCCATACAGAGCTTCAAATTCCTTTCCTCCAAGGAGAAACTTGGTTTCACCTTCTTAAGGACAGACCTATTTGTACCCGTGATAGTCCATAGTATGTTCAATATTCTTCTCCAGCATCACAACTCAAAGTGATTCTTCTGTCATCCTTATTCATTGTCCAGTTCTCTGGTGCATAGCAAGTAATTGAGAAGACCCTTGCCTGGATCAGGTGCACCTTAGTCTCTAGACTGATACTGTTGCCTTTTTGTACTCTAGAAAGGGCCCTGACAGCAGATTAATGCATGCACACATTTATAGGGTTCATTCTGTAGATATTTAAAGTTAGAAGCAGGTTTTCCACAGTGCTGTCTTTACAAGCATGCTGCAAAGAGGCACAAAGATGACCTACATCCCTAGCAACAGCAGCGCCGATGGACTTGCTGGTGTCATAGGAGGAAGAACTGCCAAGGCAGTGGCATAACTTCTGTTAATTAAGCCCTTCATGGGACACTGGGATTTGTAGTAATCATGGCTTTGCACTTAAGAAAATGGTAAAAAAATTTAGCAATCTCAACAGCTGAAGTAAAACAAGTGTTAGCTAGTGAAATTCTGTCTTCTAAATAGCACCTTAATCTCACTTGGAGCAGCTCTGAGAGAATCTACTGAAGAATAAATACTGAGAATCCATAGTGATTCAGTTAATCCTTAAAACAGTCAAAGAAGATAATGCTATTTTCACACTTTATATATGAATGGTTTTTGATGCTCAGAGTTGTTGAGCTACTGTGCTTCATCTAGCCTCCTCTCTCCTTTTATGTTTTGCATACTGAATGATCCTTGGAAGTGAGGATATTGAGTATATCTTACATTCTTTGGTTATAATTTCAGTAGGGACCACTCCTTAGACAAGGACATCATGCTTGGTGAAGTAGAGGGTAAGTGCAAAACAGGAAAACCTTCCATGATGTGGATTTTCACAAATGCCTGCAACCCTGGACTCAACAAAGCCCTGATTAGTGAGGAGCCACAGGACTGAGCAGTGCTTCCTTTTGTTGTACACAAAGGCTTTATCAGTCAGAGTTAACCTGATGGTGCCTGACAACAAGGACTTCTCTTGTGGCTTAGCGGTAGGGAACTGATCTGCCAATGCAGAGGCATGTGTTTCGATTCTATCAGCTGTTCTTTTTGTGTGATTTACAGCCTCTGAAAACCAGCTAGGGTGTCAGCTATGAGTTGGTTCTGACTTGAGGGTGCATAGCAGCAACATGATCTTAGGAGGCAAATAGATTATTTAGAAAGAATTACTGTGTATAATAATAATTCTATAATTTCTATTTATAGAATTTATAATAATTTCTTTAAAATTAATATTTTAATTTCTTCTTATTTTACATTTATTACTAATTTTTAAATTAACGTTGTTGTTGTTGTTGTTATGTGCCGTCGAGTCATTTGCTACTCATAGCGACCCTATGTACAACAGCCCTAAACCCTGCTCTATCCTGTGCCAATTGCATTGCCTCTGACACACCCATCCCGATTACCCCAGTCACTGAATCGATCCACCTCATAGAGGGTCTTCCCCTCCTGTGCTGTCCCTCCTCTACTCTACCCAGCATGATGTCCCTCTCTAAAGACCTGTCTCTCCTTACATGTCCAAAGTATGTCAGACGAAGCCCCAGAATCCTTGCCTCCAAGAAGTAGCTGGTTTAACCCTCTCTAGGTTGAATCTGTTTGTTTTCTTGGCAGTCCATGGTACATTCAATACTCTTCTCCAGCACAACAGCTCAAAGGCGTCAATTTTCCTTCTATCCTCCCTACTTTGTCCAACTCTCTGATGCATAAAAAGTGATTGCAAAAACCATGACCTGTATCAGGCAGACCTTGGTTTTCAGAGAGACACCGTTGCTCCTGAGTACTTTAGAGAGGGCCCTAATAGCAGACTTTCCCATTGCAAAAGTTTTTTGATTTCCTGGCTGCTGGTGCCAAGAGTGTTGACCATGGAGCCGAGCAAACTGAAGCTGTGAACAATCTCAATCTCTTCGCCATCCATCCTGATGCTACCAATTGGTCCGGTGGTGAGAATCTTTGTTTCCTTGACATTGAGCCTCAGTCCATACTGAAGGCTGCAGTCCTTGACCCTCTGCAGTAAGTGCATGAGGTCCTCCTCAGTTTCAGCAAGCAGGGTTGTGTCATCTGCATAACGCAGATTGTTGATAGATCGTCCACCAATCCTAAGCTGAGGCCAGGCAACACAGAAGTCACCACAGCAATAGCTTCTGACACGCCTCCAGGTACGAAGCCCCAAGGCGGACCTAAAACCGGTTGGGAGGAGCAAAGGGGAGACGGAGGGACATGCCGCCGGCAGAACCGGGAGCCAGAAGCTGCGTGGGTAGAAGCCAAGGCCAGGCAACACAGAAGAAAAACACAATCTAAACAGGAGTTCTACAGGACACATCACCTTCCCTTTGGAGACAGTACAACTAAACTTAAGAGACACTGGACACAGGAAAAGAAACAAAAACAACTGCCAGCCGTTGACCTGTTTGGAATCACATGAACGAAGAAAGCTTCAGATACAAGCAGTCAGGCCATGGGTCGGTCAATGGGAGATTAATTCTGAAGGCATTTGGTAGAAGGGAAGGGGTATCCTGCTGGAGGGTGGAGCTGGGAAGTATGTGGGTCAAGGCACTGGGCTAAGGGCGAGGACTACACTGTAACTAATGGTTAACTCCACAATGAGGGATTTATCTTTCACTGCTCCACAAATTGCTGTCTGTCAGATACTCCTCTAAATCTAAACATTCAGATTAAGACAGACTAGGAAGAAGGATTGGCCATCCACTTCTGAAATAGCAGGCCTCTGAAAACCCTATGTACAAAAAAATTAACTATACTTTATTATTTATTTCTTTTCTCCCAATAACATCTGAATGGGCAGAGATTTATTATACCCCTACATACATCACCTTGGTGGTGTAGAATATTTCTTCTCTCGTCACAGTCCCATCAGCAATCTTTTCTCGAATGGCTTCTCCAATCTCCTTCTCATTTTGATAGAAGTAAGCTGAGTCAATGTGACGGAAACCTACATCAATAGCTACTTTGGTAGCCTCAGCAGCTTTGCTTTTAGGAACCTATAAATGAGAAAAAAAGGCTTTTTCTTTGAAGAAACAATGGTCACAAATATCCAAAATTTTATGAAATGCACTCAATAAGCTCAATATACTCTGACGAAGATAAACTAAAGAAATCCACATTGTGAAACATAAGAGTGAAATGGTCTAAATGGAAAGACAGGGAAAAAAAATCTTGAAAGCATCAAGAAACTCATCACATACACAGGGTCTTTAATAGGATTAACTGTTGATTAATCATCAGAAACTAGGGATCCTAGAAAGCAATGTATATTTAAGGTACTAAAGATAAAAATGACCTATCACAGATTCTTTACTAGCAAAATTATGTTAAAAAAGGAGACCTTAACACATTCTCAGACATTAAAAGACTAAAGGATTATGTTATTAGTAGATACCTTCTACAAGAAATCCTGAAGCGAGTCTTTCAAAATGAAATAAACTGATAATCAAGAGTTGTTCAAAAGCACTTGAAGGAATAAAGAATACTGAAAAAGTTGTTAGATAACTATAAAAGACAGTATTCTTTTACTTTTGGTTTCCAATTTCTCCTTTTACCGTACAATTGAAAAGATAGATGTTAAGCTGTAATGATAAATCTATTTTTATAATGTTGTTGTTGTGTGCCATTGAGTTGGAACTGACCCATAGCTGACCCACCATTGGATTTTCAGAGGCAATTTAATCCCACAGGAACAGATTGCCCATCCTTCTCCCACAGAGCAGCTGGTGGCTTCAAATGACATGCGACATAATTTATAAAGATGTCTCTGTGATGATACTAATATATTAAAGAAGAAATAGAGATGTGTAGAAAATGACTGCTTCTATATTACTGAAACTAAGTTGTTATTATTCAAATTAGCCAGAGTAAGATGTTAAATGTACTTCCAGGTGGTTGTTGTTGTTATGTACTGCTAAGTATCCTGCAACTCCTAGTGACCCTATGTACAACAGCTCTGAACCCCTCTCTGTCTTGAGCCAATTTCATTGTCTCTGACATACCTATCCCCATTACCCCAGTCACTGAGTCAAATCCATCTCATCTAGGGTCTTCTCTTGTGCTGTCCCTCCACCCTCCCAAGCACGACATCCCTCTCCAAAGACTGGTCCCTCCTGTCAACAAACCCAAAGTATGTTTGATAGAGCTTCAAAATCCTTACTTCCAAGGAGCAGCCTGGTTTCACCCTTTCCAGGATAGACATGTCTACTCTCTTAGCAATCCATGGTATATTCAATTTTCCAGCACCACAACTCAAAGGCATTGGTTCTTCTTCTGTCATTCTTAGTCATTATCCAGCTCTCTAACACAAGTAATTGCAAAAACTATGGCCTGGATTGCTCATACCTTAGTCTCTAGCCTGATATTGTTGCTCTTCAGTACTCTAGGGAAGTCACTGACAGAAGAATTTCTCAATGCAATTCATCTTTTGATTTCCTGGCTGCTGGTTTGAATTGAAGCCCAACATCAAGGAAACAAAGATTCTTACCACTTGCCCGATTGGCAGCATAATGATAGAGAGGAGACTGAGATTGTTAACAACTTCAACTTGCTTGGCTCCACAATCATTACTTCCAGGTAGCCACCAATAATTTTAAAAGACACCAGAAATGAAAAAAGAAATAAATGAAAATAGTAAATTATGGGAAAAAAAATAAACTGAAAGCTGTAAAGCCTTCAATGAAGGGTTTGAGAGAAGGGTGTGAAGCAAACATGTGACACTACAGAAAACATATAGTAAAAAAAATAGAAATAAGTGCTTTCTCAGTACTTTCTGTGTTTATGCTTTCTTGTTAAAAATCAGGGATTTTGAAATATTATTTATCTAAGAATAAAAGACTCAATTTAAATAAAGATAATACAAAACAGAGAATGGGAAAAGATTTTACTTAAATAGTTTGAATAGAGCTCATGTGACTATCCTATTATAAGTCAAAATAAACTAAACATTTGTAAGAAGTGTGTATATCATTTGACCCAGCAATTCCACTACTTGGAATATACTCCAAAGAAGCCAGAACTGCCACCCAAGCAGATATATGCACACCCATGTTTATTGCAGCTTTGTTCACAATAGCAAAGAGTTGGAAACAACCTAAGTGCCTATCAACAAGCAAATGGAAAAGAAGCTGTGGTATATTCACACAATGGAATAGTACGCTTCATTGAAAAACAAGGAACTCATGCAATATTATTCAAAATGGATGACCCTGGAGGATATTACGCTGAATGAAATATCTCAGTCACCAAAAGACAAATATTGCATAGTGCCACTGTTGTAAAACATGACTGACATAGGAGTTGGGTGGAGACTGAGAAAGATGGGATAAATTATGTATACTGCATTGAAACAGATGAAAGAACTGTTTAAAAGGTATATATGATTAGGTATTATTGTCATGGCATGAGTCCAGAACGAAGACTGCATAGTGGAGTGGACCTGGTGGGTAGGGATTGTATAACAATGAAAGAATTTTTCTTTTTCTTTTCAAAAAGAAGAAGGAGCTAGAGGGGAGGGGTAGGCAGGGAGAAAAGTACAACAATGAATGAAAGGAAATCCAAAATCTCTGTAAATTTTCATTAGATTGAATAATAATAATAAGAAGAAGAAGAAGGAGGACAAAAAAAGAAGTGTGTATATTATATGTATTTTAAAAGGTTAAGTCTATCAAGAAGTGCTTGGTAACACATAAACAAAAACCTGACAGAATTGAAAAAGGATATCATTCGTAACACTAGCTAGACTTTATAAAGAATAATGTGGTATCAGGATTCAAAGAAGATTTAACAACAACCTGTTTTATGCAGATAACACAATCTTGCTTGCTAAAAGAAAGGATTACTTGAAATTCTTGCTACAGACCAAAGACTTCAATTTGGATTTCATCTCACCATGAAGAAAACAGAAAACTCATCACTGGATCAGTAGGCAACATCATGACAGAAAAAAAAGATTAATGTTAAGGGAGCTCCGGTGGCCTAGTGGCAAGAAGCTGCACTGCAATCCCAAAAGGTACACAGTTTGAATCCACCAGATGCTCTGCTAGAAAAGGAGGGGCAATCTCCTCCTGTACCAAGTCAGGACCCATTTGACAGTACACACAAAAGATAGTAAAATAAAAAAAAAATTTTAAAAGATTAATGCTGTCAGTGGTTTCATCTTACTTGGATCTACAGTCAACATATCTGGTACCAGCACATCTTCAAGGATATGAACATGTACGGCCAAGCACAATCAATAAGAGTGCATCTAAATTCCAAAATCAATCTCCATAATAGTCTATGTGTTTCCTACTGCCAAAGGGGCCCTTTAGAGTAGTGAGAGAAGATCTTTACCCTGAAACCCAAAGCGTCCCTTTTCAGCAGGAAGTAGCTAAGAGAATATGCCATCCCCTTTTCCTTATGAATCAGGGTGAAGTCTCTCTCAGGGAGGAGTGATAGGGAATGGCAAAGGACACACCGACAAAGGAGATTAATCAGAACTGACTTTGACAAGCACTGTGGCAATTGGACAATGAAAACAGACATTCGGATGGCGGGGAAGAAGAACAAACTGGGGAGGAGGGTGGAGAGAATGGTGCGGAAATGAAGGAGTGAAAGCCCAGAATCCCTGTGAATGTTCATTGAAACTAATAAAATTTAATAATAATTTAAAAAAATTTAAAAAAAAGAAATCAAAAGATGTATCTCATTGGAAAATCTGCTGTCAGAGACTTCTCCAAAGTGGAACAATGTTGTTGTTAGCTGTCATTGAGTCGATTATGACTCATAGTGACAACAAATGTGAACTCTCTCCTATCTTGTGCCGTCCTCACACTTCCTGACACATTAAAGCCCATTGCAGCAGCCACTGTATTAATCCATTTGGTTGAGGGCTTCTTCTCTTTCACTGATCTTCCACCTTTCCAAGAATAATGCTCCTTTCCAATGCTTAGCTACGTGAGATGAAGATTTATCATCTATACTAGATTACTGAGGAACAATGATGTCAGTTTAAAACTAATGTGTGTCTAATCCAAGCCATGATACTCTTAATTATTTGCTATGCATCTGAAAGCTGGCCAAGGAATAAAGATGAAAGAGAACTGATGTCTTTGAGTTGTGGTATTGAAGAAAGGTACTGAATATCCCATACACTGCCGAGAGAACAGACAGCCATATCTTGAAGAAAGTTTAGCCAGAATGCTCTTTGGAAGCAATGAGGGTGAAACTTCATCTCACATACATAGGGCATGTTGTTAGGAGAAACCAATTTTTGGAGAACAACACCATGATTGGAAAGATAGAGGGTCAGCATAAGCGAAAAAGACTCTCAACAAGGCAGACAGAGGCAGTGATGAAAAGATATAGGCTCCATTATGTCAGAGGTGATGAGGATGGCACAGGATAGGGCACGATTTGCCCTGATTCATAGAATAAACAACAACAAGAAGTTTAAGAATTTTTAAGAATTCAATCTTTTGTTTTTAATAAAGATATTAAAAAGGAAATAGAGGGCTTCAGTGACAATAGTTTTATGTTAAATTTAAGAGACATATACAGACTACTCCGAACCATAGGGCATAATCTTTTTCTAAAAAAAAAGAAAAAAACACAATAGGATTTAATTTTTATGAAAACTTGAGTTTACAATCATTTAGTAAATGAAGATCAAACACATCCTTTTCCTATCCTATAATTCTTAAGGAAAAAACATACTAGTTAATAAAATTTATGAACAGTTTGAGGGTAAGGCAGACTGGATAATAAACCACCTCCGATATTTGCAACTTGTGCATATAATTCACTCTAAAGGGATGAAAACAGCACCAGAGATACTTTAACTGATATAATATGGGCAAGGAATCTCATCCTCATCATTCAAATATGTTCAATGATAAATACCCAGTTTGGACACATCTGTGGGCAGCAAGGTGTACCCATCTTACTGTAGCGATTTTGATGGAAACACTTATTTAAGTTATCCTAGAAGAGATTGAGATAATTAACAGTTTTAGTT